TGAAGCAACAAGTTTAGATCATGTTGTCTATAGGCTCCTCATTCAGTAGGAAGAAGCTACTGAAGATGAGACTTCCGCCCAAATGCCAAAGATTTGTCATTGTCGATCTGTTGGGGGTGGGGGTGGGGGCGTGGAATGTAGAGGCTGCTTGTAGGCAAACAGGCTTGAGCAATGGAATGTAGAAAGGGCCACAGGTGACCACCTGGCTGAATACAGACAGGCCAATCAGGTGCTCCACCTCAAAATACCCATAGGCCCTAACTGGCCAATGGGCGGCTTACAGTCAGGCACAGTTACCAAAAAAGGGAGAATTCCATATGTTGTCATACTTCCTCCTCTTCCCCCTTTAGAAACAGCCCCCACCCATTGCCTTGTTGCAGACAGCCTCTCTGCTGCCCTTTCCACTGCTCCCTTGTGGTGTATTCAGTAATCTTCTATCTTCTTTGTTCTGTGTCAGGTGACTTCTTCCACTACCCATGCCACTGGCTTCCACTCAATGGTCACTCTACATCTGGGTCCCTTATCCGGTCAGACAGACACCCTATTTAGACATTACATGAAGTAGGCACTGGACTAGACATTGACTCTGAATGGTTCACGGTCTGGTAGAAAGGACACAACAAATTATAATGTGAACTTATATACTAACAGTGAGTGCATAAAATGTTATAAGAGGCAGAGAAAGAAACAACCGAGTCTGCTGAAGAGAAAATTCAGGGCAGGTTTCGCTGTGGAGGTGACCTGTTACCTGACCCTTGAAGGATATGGCAAGTGGAAAGAGGAAAAAATAGTAGACATGTAAGTGTGAAAGTGCACATGGAGGGATGAGGGAATAGGAGGAGAACTGTGGTATGGATGAGGTATAGAAACAGAAGAATGTTTGCCTTTAGCCTAGAAGGCTGACCTAATAGCCTACATAGTTTCGATAAGGATCAAACACGCATTGGTTGCTACATTCTGCAAGGGTCTCATGACTGCCTGTATATCTTGCCAATAGTTAATATTGAGCCAAATGATAAGGACCACAGAAATCTTACTACAGTAGATTTATGAGTAGAAATTTATGGATAGAAATTCAAAGGAAACATGATCTAATACTCCCTATACATCCCCTCTACCTTGAGCACTAAGCATATAACCACCAGCTTCATACAGCAAAAGTACGGCTCTTTCTGCCCAAGGGTCCTGTCCTCGTGCTGCTTAAATAACCTTACTAAGTTGCTCCAGAAAACATCTCAAGAATTCTTTCTTGGCCATTGTGCTCGACAACCCTGCGTCAAAGATGGACTTTGTGTCAAAGATGTCCCACGGTGTCAAAGATGAAGGAGGAAAGGTAGGCATGAGCTAGGTGATTCTAAGGAAGAAGACAGTTGTTGGATATGGTCAGCTAGCACCCAGCAGAAGATGGAGAGCTAAAATCTTCATCTCCCGATTACCTTACAATTAGAGTTCTGGTTCTAATTCAATGCAGTGGCAGGATATCAGGACACAAGTAATGACACCCTCTTCCTGCTGCTGCTGGCCTTTTCTCTGCTAGCAGGCAAGGTCATGGAGTTACAGGGTCTTTCTATAGCTTCACTGCAGTGTCCAGTCTTGATTGTGGGAATTAAGAGGCAGTTGTAGCAGTGCTGGCAACAACCTCTGATGCTGGCTTCCTAACAGAACAGTTATCCTAGTAATTTCTTGGACTCAGTATTTCTAATAGTGGATTCCCCCAAAGATCGAGATCTCCCTAACTGATCTATGCTGCAGGGTTCCAGCAGTCATTCAGAGAGTCCCAAGCCTTTCAAGGATTTGGGAAACATCAAATTCCCCTAATTAAGTTCCTTTCTTCTTCTTTTTTAAATGTTTATTTATTTTGAGACAGTGTGAGTGGGAGAGGGGTACAAAGAGAATTTCAAGCAGGCTCTGGACTATCAGTGCAGACCCTGACACAGAGCTCCATCCCACAAACCATGAGATCGTGCCCTAAGCCAAGATCAAGAGTTGGACACTTAACCAACTGAGCCACACAGGGGCCCTGGAAGTCCTTTCTTATTAAAATACCTAGATTAGTTTCTCTTTTATGCACTGAACTCTGACTGATAAAGTGAAAATAAGGAAATCCACTGTCTGAATGAGAGTATCCTGGTATCTGAATGAGAATGATACTGCTAAGATTTGTGTTTGATAAGACAAAATAATTACTATTTCAGTTAAAAAGACAAAGTGATTTTTTAATATTAATCATAAAAATAATTTTTAAAAATATTATCATGTTAAATATATAGTACTTTTTCAAAACAAAAAATGCTTGTTTTCCAATGATACATAGTCAATATCTTGTTCATGCCATTTCTTATTTATACTAGAAGTCTAAAGAATCAACTAATTTAAAAATATTAATCAACTTTCAAATAAAATGGGGCTTTTATTTTATATTAAATATATTTATATTAAATTTATTTTTCTTTGTGATAACAACTTTAAGTCATTAACTACATTTTTTTATTTTTTATTTTTATTTTTTAAAGTTTATTTATTTTGAGAGAGAGGGAGGGAGGGAGGGACAGATAGGGAATCCCAAGCAGGCTCCATGCTCAGTGCAGAGCCAGACTTGGGGCTTGATCTCACAACTGTGAGATAATGTCCTGAGCAGAAATCAAGAGTCAGACACTCAACTGACTGAGCCACCCAGGCACCCTAGCTACGTATTTTTAAATGCTCTTATAAAAACCATGTCCAAAAAAGGCCTGGCTTTCATTTGCTATACTTCCCTATAATTTCTTTCTTTTTGATTTAGTCACACATATATATGTTTAACATATACAATGGACCCAAAGACGGTGTTATTTAAAACAAAATATGAATGTACCAGTTTCTAGTTTACTTAAGTCTGATCAATGCCAATACATTTTTCTTTTTTTTTTAAGTTTATTTACTTTGAGTGAGAAAAAGAGACTGAGAGCAGGGGAGGGGCAAAAAGAAAGGGAAAGAGAGAATCTCAAGCAGAGCCCGACTCGGGGGCTTGATCTTGAGAATGGCAAGATCACAACCTGAACTGAAATCAAGAGTCAGTAGCTTAACGGCCTGAGTTACCCAGAGCCCCTGGAATATATTTCTATATACTATTTCCTTCCAATCACTGGGATGGTAGAACCCAAGAAATTGAATTTTTCAAATCCCCACCTATTCAACAGTCCTCCAGAGAGGCAATCCACAGTGGAGAACCCTTTGTTTAGTAAAACATGGTAATGAGTCTATAAGCCCAAAGGAATCCAGTAAAGAGTGAAGACCTCCATTTCTCTTTCAGAAAGAGCCCTAGGGAGAAGTAACAGAGCTCAGGGGCAAAGAAAAGTTTTGCTTGGGCAAAAGACAGCAGGAGGGGCAATGCTTCCCATTGGGGAAAGAAAGAACAGTCCAATGACAAGAGTGAGACTTTAAATTCAAAGGGAAATCGGAGCAAGAAGCGGCTAGGATAAACTCCCTGCTACCTGCATCAACCATCAAATATATAAATAGAATGCTGGAAAGAACGTTTGAGCTGTTTTTATATAAATATTAAATAAAAGACATCTGACCTTTGGCTTCTGTGAACATTAGCCATCACGAATGCTGTACACAATTGGGGAGCCATGGGGTTGGGGAGTGGAAGATGGCCTGGGGCATAGAGAAGGTAGAGCTGGGGAGAATGATTAGGAGGCTCTTGCAATAATAGTTCAGGTAGGTAATGCTAAAGACCTGATCAAAAGCAATGGCGGTAGGAATGGTGAGGAAGGGAAGAATTCCAAACATTTCAGTTGTAGAATCAATTGGGAGTGGTGACTGATGGACAGAGAAGCATGGTTGGGATGCCTCCAAAGTTTCTAATATGAGTAACTAAGTGACCAGTGATGAAGTTATCAGAATTTTAAAATACAGCAAAGGGGGCAAGTTTTGTGGGGAGAGTGGTGCTTTTTATTTTTATTCTTAATGTTTACTTATTTTCCTTCAGTAAGCTCCACACCCAAGGTGGGGCTTGAACTCACAACCCCAAGATCAAGAGTCCCGTGCTTTACAGACTGGGCCAGCCACGTGCCACATGAAGTGGGGATTTTTAATCGGGACATTCAGTGGAGAAATCCAGGAGACAGATAGTATATTTTGAAATTGTTAGCATGACTAAGAATCCCTAGAATAATAATAGTTTTAAGAGTAATTCACTCCCAACTTCTTAGGTTCTCTCTCCCATTTATCTTACTAGCTGCTTGTACTTCCCTAGGTTCCAACTCTTGGATTCTAAAGGTCAGTTTTGAGAAGCAAGGTAGAAAATGGAGTGGAGGATCCAAACTTTGTTTTAGGTGAGCGGTACTACCTCGCACTTCATATGGTAAAAGAAAATTAGGTTAGGTCTCAATTCTGCGGTCTACCAACTGTGGAGACGTAGATAAATCTTCATATCTCTGCCCCGCCGTTCTTTGTTTTCCCATCTTTTAAATGGGGTTAGAAGAATTTACACATGGGGAGTGGGTGGGTCAGGACTCGTTGAGAACACAGGAATAGCCACAGAGACGTCTGAATTCCGTGGATCTTAGTGATACTATCTCTCTGAGAAAGACTCCACCCCAAACGTACTGACCCTGAGTGGGGTGGGGCCCGGGAATCTGTATTTTAGTGGTTCCCAGGTGATTCAGATGCTCAGTCAGGATTGAGAACCAAGGACTCTTCCCAGCCCTTCTGTTCTCTGAACCACTTCTCCATTTCCTTCTGCTCCCAGAGATTTCCAGCTCCCGCAACAAAAGGAGCGAGTGAGGAGGAGCGACAAGGCGTCAACGAAGCCCGGCCGGCCCGGGTCCCAGCCTCTCCCGGGCCCTCTCCCTCCCAGGGCGCCCGGCGCCGGACGCTAGCCGCCAGCCGCCACATTACATAACGGGCCCACGGCCCGCTCTCGCGAGGTTTCCAACCCCCCCCCCCCCCCCCCCCCCCCCCCCCCCCCCCCCCCCCCCCCCCCCCCCCCCCGCCCTCCGCCCCTCCTCGCTCCACGTCAGAGGGAACCGGGCGGAGCGGCCAACATGGCGGAACGCAGGCGACACAAGAAGCGGATCCAGGTAGTAAAGGCGAGCCCCGGGGTAGGGGGGCTTCAGGGCGCTCGGAGTAGAAGAAGCGAGGGAAGCCCCCGGAAAGGCGAGCGAAACCGAGGGCAAGACGGGGTGGGGGTTCCTCCGCGAGGCCTCCGGGCGCGGGCTGCGTCGTTGTGAGGGGCCTGAGGGGGGGCGGTGTTGGCGACGGCAAAGACCGAGGCGGAGGTGGTGGGGCAGCGGCGGAAGGTAAGAGGCGCCGCGCTCGGAATCGGCGGCGGAGGCGCGTCCGCCAGCCTCGGATTCCCGTGACTGCCCCGGCCCAGGCCTCCTCGCGAGCTCAGACACCGACCTCCCCGGGCTCCTCCCCTCCCTTTTTTCTACCTCATCCTCTCGCCTTAGTTATCCCGAAATTAAGGCCATGGTAATTAGGGTGGGAGGAGGCGGAGGGCTGACCTAAAGCATTCGGTTCTTTGTGCGCAAATGGGAGGAACGTAGGTGAGGGAGTAACCTCGGTTTGGTCAGCTGCCCCGGGGGCCCGGGCGACGGTCTGGCAATCCAGATGTTCAGTTGCGTATATCCTCCTTTCTCAGTGTTAGGAACAGGCCAGTTGAAGCTTTCCGGCTTTCTTCCAGGCGACACGGTGTAAATAAACACAGCGTCGTTGGTACTGCGACGACCTGGTCGCGCCCAGAAACCTCTCACATGCCAGTGTGCCGGCCCCATAACCTACATAACATGCCTCCCTCATTCCACATGCCTGTCATCTGTGCCCATGTTCCCTGCCGTTTTCCCCCTGTTGTTCTAGCTTTTTGCCGAGAGGATTAAACACATGGAACGTCTTAGACTCAGGATCATTTCTGTTAGTCGTTGCCTCCTAAGCTTATCTGCCTGGAAACCTTCCGACGGCATCATAAATGGATAAAATGTTGTGAGTTGTTACGATGCCAATCACAAATTGTGACACTCATCGTTGACCTTCTGTGTCTTGGTATTTCATTGCCTAGAATGACTTTTTTCTGTGTAATGTTTTGTTCCTCCATTAAAAAAAAAATGTATCACTTAATTGGACTACACCAGAGGTGATTTGAGCCATGCACGTTAAAATTCTCCTGAAGACTAGGAAGCGCTGGGGGGGGGGGGGGGGGGGGGGGGGGGGGGAGATGCCAGCCGTCAGTAAATTTGGAATTGTGGGATTGGGCAGAAGTAAGAAAGTCTTCCGAGCAGAGCGCAGAAGAGAATCAGAAAGAGACAAGTTCCCCCAGGTTCCAACAGGTCATCAAAGCAGGGTTTAAGGGGATTATGGAAGAAGTTTCTAATGACCCTACTCCCAGTGGCAGGATTTGGTGTTATCGTACTTGCATTAGAGTTTGTATTGAAGTTGCCAGTCAAATGTGTACTCACCGTACGTAAACTCACACACAGAGTGCATTTTATGCCCCTTAACACACATATTTGCCCAGTTTCAGCTTTAACGTTGTGAAGGTGAACCTTACTCACTTTTGAACAGCGGCTTTTTTTCCCCGTCTCGATCCTGTCTTAAAGAGTAAGGTAGATGGAGAAGCTGCATGGTGGTGGTTGTGTCAGGGACCTAAAGCTGGAGCCAGAGTGTTCTGTTTGCGCCCTCGTTTCACTGGTTACTGGTTGTGTAACTTTGGGCAAGTTACTTAACTTTTCACCTCGACTTACAAATTGTAAGAAAGGATATGTACCTCAAAAAAAGGAGAGGTTGTAGGGTTGTTGCGAAAATAGGTGAGTCAGTGATTTGCTATTGAAGATTATAGACGTTATTAGGAGTGTTTGGCATGTAACTGCTTCCTTTCCCCTTCTCCAAAAGGATGAAAGGTTTGGGTTGGCTGTTTTGGTTTCTGTGAAGCACTCTGACGGACTGAAGAAAGATTAACAGCTGTCCATTCAGTGAATAAACCATCACCTTGTGAATTCCGTAAAGTATAGCTATTTATCCACTGCTGTGAATTTGGGGATTAGATATATATGTGAGGATCCGATTGTTAAACATCAGTTTGGCATATTCCTAAATAAAAGCATATTAACATTTATTATTCCCATCCTGGAGGTTTACACGTAGCTGTACTAGAATGTTGTAGAGATCTTGGGAGTGCTATTTGGAGTACTGCTGTGCAGTGTTAACAAACTAATACAAGTGTACAATATCTTACAATGTCCTTGGGTTCCCCCCCCACCCCCCAAATCAGAAACTGTAGTATTGGCCTCACTTTGGACAAAAAGATCAAGTGTAATGTCAAAGTTCAGAGTTTAAGTTACAGAAAAGATTCTTTTATAAGACTTTTGGGCAAAAAAGTCTAATATTAACTGAGTTTCCTGTTTGTTACTTGATGTTTCATATTTAGAAAAGATTCTTATGTTTAATAAATTCAAGTGACCTTGAATTGTAATTTTACATTGGAGGAAATGATTGGTATAATATCAGAGTTTGGAAAAGTAGCTAATTCATTTGCTTTTTCTAGTGTTACATAATTTCAGATTCTGATATCCCATCAAAGTTGGAAAGAAGGGGACTATTTTGTCACACTTTCTTCTTGGATTCACTTTACTGATCACTGAAAACTGGAAGTGAGCTACATGTTTATTAATGTTAGGAGATTTTAATGATTGAGATTCTCAAATGAGAGTGATCCCAATCCAAATTAATGAACCATTTGAAAATAAATAATTTTAAGATTTAAGAAATGAATTATGCAAGTTTTAAAAAAATATACAGTATGGGCATATTGGTTAGCAAAGTGCTTACTGGTTTGGAATGCTGGTATCATGAAAGTTTAGAGTTGAGAAGGATTTTCAGATAGTAGAATTTGTTTGGAATCCTTTTGCACAAATGCCGTTCTTACGGGAAAAGCAAGATGGTAAAGCCCTATAACCTGGTACCCCCTACCATTATCCCATACTCATCGTCCTTAAACTATTTTTGGGACCTACATCTAAAAGTATTACTAGTATAAAACTTACTGATCTAATATATCACCATCATTTTATGGATAAACTAAGGTTCAGTGAGGTTATTAAGTGACTTGACCCAGAGTCAGTCATCAAGGTAGTAAAACCAGATTTAGACCAAGTCTTCTAGTTCCCAGTTGAGTGTTCTTTATACCTCCCCAGTGGTTTAAAAAAAAAAAAAAAATTCGGAAATACTTTAACCCTGAAGTCCTTATATTAAATAATATAACATAAAGATTTAACATGACTTGTCCCTGCTAAAGAGAGAAACCTCCCATTTAGTATTCTGTTGATGTGTATTCGGTTGAGTGTGGGGACATTTAAATGGCTTACTAATTCTTAGAACTTTGGTAATCTGCATCTCAGTTAATTTTATTGTACCCATCTGTCTTCCTAACAGTAAAACCCTGACATGTCATGGGCCTGTATGCTTAATTTCAGAAAAGGGAAGGAAAGAGAAAGTTTGTGACTATATAATCTGACTCTCTGAGACCTTCTGAAGAAAATAAGACAGAACCCATGAAGCCAGTCCTGAGTCCGAAAACTTACCCAGAGGCTTACTGGAGGGCTTGCTTGCAATAGGAGTCAAACACAGAAGGGCACTGTCATAGTCAAGATACAGAGACTCTTGTGAAGCTTTGTTAGTAACATGCTGTGTGACTTTAAGCAAATAATTTACCTAAGTTCCCCTCCAGCTTTCAGGTTTTACTCTGTTAATCTATTTGCATTTCACAAATATTTTACACTGCTTGCATGAAGATACGAATTTGTAATTTGTTAACTAACCTTTTTCTTTTTTCCTTACTTCACTTGACAGATCAACCAAACTTATTTCTTCTGAATGTAGCAATTAAAAAAATTCTGTAACAGGGGTGCCTGGGTGGCTCAGTCGGTTAAGCGTCCGACTTCAGCTCAGGTCAGGATCTAGCGGTACGCGAGTTTGAGCCCCGCGTCAGGCTCTGGGCTGATGGCTCGGAGCCTGCTTCCGATTCTGTTTCCCTCTCTCTCTGCCCCTCCCCCTTTCATGCTGTGTCTCTCTCTGTCTCTAAATAAACGTTAAAAAAATTTTTTTTTTAAATTCTGTAAGATAGAAGACTGGCTTTTTTTTTGTTTTTTAAGTTTATTTATTTTTGAGAGAGGGACAGCACGAGCAGGGGAGGGGCAAAGAGAGGGGGGCGGGAGAGAGAGAATCCTAAGCAGGCTCCTCGCTGTTAGTGCAGAGCCCAACACAGGGCTCAAACCCACAAAACTATGAGATCATGACCTGAGCTGAAACCAAGAGTTAGATGCTTAACTGACTGAGCCACCCAGGCACCCCAAAGACTGGCTTACTGACTCTTGACCTAATGTTTTTTCTCAAAAAAATTCTTGTAACTACTGGCTAAAATAAAATATAGCTAAAAATGATAACCCCTATTTCATTACAGTATTTGCATGTTGATCTATTCTAAAGTAAAAATAGTATTTAAGTAATTTAAAAAGAGTGTTCTAACCAACTTACACAATTTTGGGTTGTGAGTTGCAGCAGCCAGCATCTTGGTATTTGGGTGCAAAGATGGCAGTCTAGCCTCAAAAACCTTATTGGCTCTTTGCTTTCTAAGACATTTGAGCTCATTCATTGAGCTATAAAGTTCTCTTCATTTAAGGGTTGATGAGCTGGCTTCTCTCTCTCTCCCTCTCTCTCTCTCTCTCTCTCTCTCTCTCAAGACTTTTTAAATGTTTTTTTATTTATTTTGAGAGAGAGAGAGAGGGAGAGAGAGAGACTCCCAAGCAGGCTCCATGCTGTCAGTGGGCAGCTCAATCCCACAAACCGTGAGATCATGACCTGAGCCGAAACCAAGAATCGGACACTTAACTGACTCAGCCACCCAGGCACCCCTGGCTTCTCTTTATTAGTGGTTGATGCTATTCCCAAAAGGCCTTCACCTTTTTGTTAGAAGGTTTCTAGAAAAGTTATGAAAATATTCTGAAGATTTGTTCACATCAAAAGAGAACAAAGAGGGGAAGTATTATAGTCTAATGCGTAAACAGGAAGAGAATAAGACTGTTTTATACTCTTTAGGCTTTAGCAGGGCAGCAGTGAGAGTGAAGACTCCATGGCAGGATCTCTCTAACCAGCTTCCCATGGTCATGTTTTCTTGGTAGTCTTCTTTCTGGCTTCTTCAGGCTTCAAAGCCAGAATCTTTCTATCTGGCTTCAAAGCCCCAGCAGATGGAACAAATTCTATACTTTTCTCTTAAAGGCATTCTACAATATGATAACTTATATGTGGTATAATGAACATTTCATAATATTTCACAAAACAAATTGGAAACCTATTAAGATTTGAACTTGAAGAAGGAGCAAGGAAGGTTATAAGTTGTGTTACACCAATATCTTGATAGAATTCACTACATTTCTAGGGAATTACTTCAAGGGAAGTTATTGATACTTTTTAATAAAAAAGTAACTGGACAAGTAACTATCTACTTGGGAAAGATTATCCAAGTCCATATTTTCTGGGTCTCTTCTGTTCATTGTTGCTTAGTAGTATCTTTAATTTACCAAGGAGGGAAAAGGAATAAAAGTAGATTACTTGGGTCTGTCTTGATGTTGTTAGAAGAGTTTGGTGAACTTTGAAGTTAGTTGTTAAAGTGAGGTTTAAAAGTGTTATGGATTCATGTAGTATCAGATTCCCTACTGTATAATAATAGAATAAATAGACTTTTCCATTTCTTGTGTATCCTCATATCAGATTTTACATGTGATGCCTCTGTCAACAATCAGTAGATGAGTACATTTATACCTGTGTTTAGTAAATGGTTTGATTGGGTGCTAATATGAGTATAGACTTGTCACGCCTAAAGTCGATGTGCTTGAGAAATATGTATGATATGATTTTGGAAAATAACAATTGCTATTTTGTATAATTATAACAAAAGATAGGTATCATGCTTTACAAATTTTGGTATTAACTGAAGCATCTAAAGGTATTCTAGGGTATACACTCAGTAAGTATGTATTTGAACAATTTATGTTTATCTAGACTTATTTCCCATGGTTTTTTTTTAATCAAGCATATAGAGTAATAACTTATCAGTTAATTACATAAAACTTTACATTGACAACAGATGTATCAAATGAGAAAAAAATTGAGCATAGGTGGGTGTGATAATAAAATAGAATTGGTTTCCATAAGCCAATTAGTAGTAGCTCATTATTTTCAACTATTTGTAATATTACTTTTTGGAATACACAAATATATAGGATATTATTTACTAATAGATGAGCCTCTTAGAAATGCATTGTATTATTCAACCAGAATTTAATACTATCATTTAACATATGATACTAACATGTTAATATATGTTAGTGTGATTTCAAACATTGAAATATAGGGGTGCCTGGGTGGCTTAGTTGGTTAAGCGTCCAACTCTTGATTTTAGCTCAAGTCATGATCTCACAGTTCATGAGATGGAGCCCAGTGTAGGGCTTTGCATTGATAGCACCAAACCTGCTTGGAATTATCTCTCTCCTCCTCTCTCTGACCTTTCCCTGCTTGTGCACGATCTCAAAATAAATATTAAACACACACACAAATTGAAATGTAGATTTTTTTCTCCTTTTAGTGTGTCAGAAAGTATACTTTGTGGTTCAAATCATTATGAACCTTGTGGTTTTAGTGAACTGGGAGTGTTAACTTTTGTGAATTAATTTTTGTTAATAGTGTTAATTTTGAAATGCAATGTTTTCAAGATTCTACTTTTGTATGATACATATTTTTCTATATAAAACTAAAGGTTTTTATTCACGCAAATATTTGGCTTTCACTGTAGTCTTCATTTGGATTGAATAGTTTGAACTTTTAATTTTTATTGCCACACATAACCCACAGATGGGGTACTAGTAAAGTATAAGAATCATACACTGTTAATTGGGCAACTGGGAGAAGAGGATTTGGAAAATGCAGAGTAAGAAATATGAGAAGTAGCTGCCAGGTGATTTAACAACCAAAGTACAGGCTTTCACTTCATCCAACAAGTTACTCCTTTTCAGGATAAAATTGAAGCTGGTACTTTGGTTTGTTCATTGTTCCTCATTTTCATCAAACATAACTGAATTCATACTTAACTGAAATTTGTGGGAAAACTGACATAAAGACTGATAACTTGGATTATTTTTTCTATTTTGTGTTATTAGAATGTCTTATCTAAAACATAACTGTCTTTAGCATTAATTGTTTTTAGCACCTAGATTCTTGGCAGATAGTTCTTTACGAATATTTGGCACTTCATTTAAGAAACAGACCTTCCCGAAATTACTCACATTTAGATTATACATTGCTGAGAATATTGCTTGAGTGCTCTCTGTATCATGCTTACATATGTAATTAAAGACAGTACTTTTGTTTTTGTAGCTTATAGCACTACAACAACTTCTAAAAGTGTATCAGATGTATACAAACGTAGATTGCCTTCATTTTCTTCAGTATATAGGTGGGAGAATACATACACAGGAGTAATTGAAAGGGAAGAGAATACACCTCTTTAGTATCTGAAATAGTATTCTTATGGCTCCCACACTGGGACAGATCTCTCTGGTTAATTTGGGAGTTCCTCCTGTAGTTTGTTGTCCATTGTTCAGGGTACATAGCTTTGTTAAATTTAACATTTACTTATGGCACCTGTTTCTACTTACTTTGACATTTGAGCACTCACTACTGGCAACCTCTTAATCTTTGAAATTACTGCTTTGTGGCTTATAAAAAAAGACCGGGCAAGAGTGAGGTGAGCTAGTACAAAGTAGTTACCATACTGGAAAAACAACTCAAAAGAAATGCCTTAGCTGAGGTGAAGAGGCAGGTTTTGGCCCTATCAACAAGTATTTGAAAAACATGTAATTTTTTAAATCTCTCTTCTGTCTTTTGTGTATATTATCAGGTCTCCTCCAGAGAAGACTTGAAAGAAAGGCTTATACTCCACTTCAAAAGATTTGTAGAACACATATGTAAATTCAACACACGAATTTGTGAAGTAAATGATTACACTAAATATTCTTATTTTGCAGGAAGTTGGTGAACCATCTAAAGAAGAGAAGGCTGTAGCCAAGTATCTTCGATTCAACTGTCCAACAAAGTCCACCAATATGATGGGGCACCGAGTTGACTATTTTATTGGTAGGATTATATCAGTAAAATTCTGTTAGTGTACATATTTTATGAAGATACCTAAATTTGAGATATGTAGACATTTTAAAAGTGCTTTCCAAGTATTATACAAAGATGCAGCTGGGTAATGGACATATGGCAGTTGATTATCCTGTTCTTGCCTTTTTTGGTTGCAAATGTCAATAGTAAAAAGACAAAAGAAAGTGCTTTGTTGCAACACTAGTTGCAATTTTTTTTAATGGGATTTATTTTCAGTGATAATACTACAGTTTGTTCCGATAGTAAAAGTACTTGAAGATAATCTTTTTGTAAAACTCTGGAATAGAATCCAATGGGAAACAAGTTTGATGGAACCAATGTAGGAGCTTTGGTTCTTCACATAATCCAAAGGACCTCATTATAAGCTAATGTCATCTATAATATGGCCCTGTAGCTTATAAATAGTGGCTGAAAAAAAATAATATGAAAGTAAAATAAATGCTAGTCTCATCAGACCTACTATATTTAGTTTCTTCTTGTGATAGCAGTAGATTGTTCACAGAGCTTATTTCTCAGTGGGTCACAGTAAACTTGATAACAGAATTTCTATTACTGTCAGGGGAAGATTTTTGGTTTGTTTATTCTACATTTAACTGTGATTATGTGATAAGAATGATACTTATATTAATTTTAAATGTTTTTGTCTAGAACATTTCCACATAATATATCTGGTCTTAGTTCATATTTTTGAATGTCAGTTATTTCCCAACATTACTTTAAAAAGACCCTTATTGCTGTGTTTCACAAATTTAAGTTTTGAGGAATTGTTTATCTATCATGATCATGTCCGAATTAATTTCCTTTGAATTTGGTTTTATTTTCTGATGCCAGAATATCTTATAAATTATTACTTAGACATAAATTCCCATGTATACATAATTTACAATGATAAATTTTTTCTTTAGCTTCAAAAGCAGTGGATTGCCTTTTGGATTCAAAGTGGGCAAAGGCCAAGAAAGGAGAGGAAGCTTTATTTACAACAAGGGAGTCTGTGGTTGACTACTGCAACAGGTAGTGTTTATTTCTTAGTGATGGATAACATAAGTAGTGATTTCAAAATACTTGCCATAGTCCTAAAGCTCCTTCCCCATTTTTATCATTAAATGTAGTGATACTAGAACATAGCTCAAACAGAGCTTTTTCATGCAATCTGGATTTTTTTCAGTACCTTTGGAAATGCATTTATTTGGTATTAGACTATGATATTTTCATAATTTTAATTTGTATTATATTACAATTATACATTTGCCAGGCTGACCGAGCTGAAAGGTCAGCAATACAAATCCTATACCAGTGTTAAAAGTCACCAAAAAAAGTCTTTCTTTTCTACGCAAATGGCTAGGGAGTCTTTCCCAAAACTTTGGCAGGGATTCCTAATAGACCTGCTATATCTGGGTTGTTTGTTTTTGTGCCTGTATGGGGTTAGTCAGTCAGGTACCCTTCCTTATTTTGTTGGTGATTGCTAATGTATTCCTTGTAAAATCAAGGCAACGACAGCATCTGCCTTCTCTTGATTCCATGGTGAAGCATAGATAGTTCAGTAACATATCCATGTTTTTCATAATAGGTACTTCTCCTTTGGGAAAAACTTCTGATGGTGAGTGGTATACAAAAACCACTTTCCTCTGAAAATAAATATATTGATTTTTCTTTCAGTTTTTTCTCTTGGCTTACTTACTAAAATAATTAGGCATATTTATTAAGATGTTAATAAACCAAATTTTGTTTTTATCACTGAAGTTTATAGTTGGTAGGAATCTTACATTTTAGATTATTTTATGTTTGGTAGGGAGATACACATAGTATTTGCTAATATGTTGTTTAATGGCATTTAAAGTATCAGTCACATGACACCCCTTTAAAAACCACTGTTTCCCAACCTGGTTTTAAAACTGAAGTTAGGGGTGCCTGCGTGGCTCAGTCAGTTGAGTATCCGATTCTTGATTTCAGCTCAGGTCATGATCCCAGGGTCATGGGATTGAGCCCCACATTGGGCTCCACACTGAGTATCAACCTCTCTACCTCTGCTCCTTTCCCCAGCTCACTGACTCTCTCTCTCTCTCTCTCTCTCTAAAACAAAACGAAATAACAAAAAATAAAACTGTGATGTTAAAGAACTATCAAATATTTCTTAAAATTCTTAGTTGCCAAAAAGTAGAGTCACTGTTGGACCTTTCAGAAACAATGAAAATTTCACTGTTGGGACAGGAATGAGCTAACAGTGATGTACCTTTACAGCCATTTCTGTAGAGCTCCAGAGTGCAAATTTCTCTGCCTGCCTCAAAAATAGACTTTTGTTTTACATATGGTGTGAAAATTAAGATACTATACATGAAAAAACAGAGAAGCTAGGTAATTTACTCAAAAGTAGTAGAGCCATAATTCTAAATCCAACACTCTGGCTCCATAGTCCATGCTCCTAACCACCATGATATACTACCTCCTCCAACAAAATGATGATGCATTTAATGAAGCAAATTAAGATGAAGGGTTCATCTGTCAATACTATTTGAATATTCAATCTGTGAGCCCAGAGAGAGCAGCAAGTATTAATCCACATCTCTTGTCCTTTTAGGAGCCTTGATCCCTTGTTATATGAAGAGCCTTAAAGACCTAGAGATATACTCACTTTTCGTTGTAGATGTTATTCCCATTCATGCCAGGTTGTTTGTGTCCTTTCTACATGGAAATAGAGAAGCATAACTACCTAAATGTTTCAGAGCCACTTCTGATAAGCCATGGCCAGCCCTCGTGGGTTCCATCCTGACTACAAATAAAACCACAGAGATATTTGTCTAGTCTCATTTTATGAAGTTGATCAGTAGACTTGAGGGAGTCTGAAGAAAAACAAAACAGGAAGATGTAGGATGATACACAGAGCAACCTTTTCTAATGTGCTCTGTGCCTCATAATGGCCTGCTTTGAGTATGAATCTAACTCTACATGTGACTTTGCATCTCCAACCCACGACTCCAGTAATGTCTTTCTCACTCTCATTCATATACCACACTCATTTTTTTCTGGTCTTTCATTGATAATAACCTGCCATTTTCCCCAAATGGTTTTTTGTTAATCCTGCCTGCCTCTCAATATAAATATCCCTCCAGTTCTATCTCTGCCATGTGCTATTCCACAGGTCCTCCAGCCCACATTAATCTTTGTATCTAAGGTTCTATAGCATTTATAAAGTTAGTTCATACATTATACCCCTTAGCTATTTTAGAATTGTTGCATATGAATCAGTTTTTAAAATTTCCTGCCAGCCATATCTGAAGGCAGTTATAGGACTATTTTCTGCTTTAGTGTAACTCCATAGCAATTAGCACAGTGTGGGCATTTAATAAAACGTTACCATTGCTACATGGGTGAAAGTCTTAAACATGTCTGGCTTCAATAAATGTTTGTTAAACCTGAAAAAAAAGTAAGAGGTGAGGAAAAAATACAATTTAATGACTTTGCATAAGCTGCTTTTAACAATCCCATTTGTGTATTCAGCAGTTATAAAATATCTGTTGTATTCCAGGCCCCAAGAATACAAAGATGACTGTGACTTGGTCCCCACCTCCAAAGTACATATTCTAGCCTTTTAGAGAAGACTCATGACTAATTACAATGCATTGTGTTCTGTAAGGAGGACAGGGATGAGAAAACGTCAAGAGTGGCTTCACAGAGAAAAGGTTTAATCAAAATTTGAAACATAAATAGGTGATTACCCAGCAAACAATGGGAGAAAGGACAGTCAATCCTGGCAAAGGGAGCAGAACATACTGGAAGAAGGAAGTAGTTCTGTGGAAATGTAAGAGAGCTTTGTGTGAGTGATTTGTACTATATATGTTAAATAAATGAAGGCACTGGTTTTGTTACGATAGTAAATGTCATCTCACTTTTCCAGTCATAGAGTGAGTTGAAGTAGGCATTCTCTAAAGACCTGTCAAGGAATATGTCAATAATTTTACTTACTAGTGAATAGATTGATGCTATAATGTAATAATATGAAACCAAAGTATGTGTATGTATATTCTGTAACTATTAAATGAAATTCAAGGTTTTGCTATAGCAAAGTTTGCTTACTTTGAGTACATATATTCCAGGCACCATGCTATAAACAATCTACATGTGATTGTGAGATAGAAATTTTACTAAAATTAAATAATGCACCCAAACCCACATAGTTAAGTGGTAGAGGTGGTATTTGAGCTCATGTACCTGAATATGACTTGTTCGACACCAGTTTTATTGTTTAATAGTCTGCATTTGACCCTTGAACAACCTGAGGGTTAAGGGGTGTCAACCCCACACAGTCAAAAATCCATGTTTTTAACTCCCCTCCAAACTTAACTACTAACAGCTTTCGTTGACTGGTAGTCTTACCGAGAACATAAACAGTTGATTAACATGTATGTTGTATATGTGTTATATGCTGTATTATAAAGTAAACTAAAGAAAAGAAAATGTTATTAAGGAAATCATAGGGAATATAGGGCATACTGTATTTATTAAAAAATAATCCATGTATAAATGGACCTGCGTAGTTCAAACCTGTGTTGTTCAAGGATCAACTGCACATGGGTGGCAGATACTAATGGTACAGTCTGTGGGACATTTCAGACAGTTGCAGAGTTTTATGCTATGTAGGTCTGAACAAGTAGAAGGCCAAATGAGAAGACCTAGAAATTAGTTTTGTGGAAATGTTCATGGAGTGGACCCCAGTTGGGCAGCAGAATAAAGGCCAGCCAGGCAGTTCAAAACAGAGGCCTCAGAGGGCACAACATAATGACCAGCAATAAGTGGTCACTGGACAGGAAGAAAGCACTTAGTTAAGAAGTGGTATGATGTGCTGGAGCAGGCATTAGTGGAGGTAGTGGAGGTAGAAAGGTGGGCAGTCAACAGGCACAGATGGTGGATTTGAGACTTAGTTTGTATGTTGTGTTTGGTAGTTGTACATTATCAAGGAAGGAATGAAGAAGCAAATCAGGAACTCTGAAACTGGAACATAAGATTTGAAAGGATGGCTTTTAGGTAACAAAAGTAAGGGCAACTCAGTTTCTTGAGTAGGATTGTGAGGCTAGAAAAGAACTACCACTTAGATTGACTTAATTTAGGGTCTTCTAAGCTCATCAGATGAAGAAATGAATAAAGCAAAGATGTCTTAGGTAGTTTATACTAGTAAAGGGAGCAAGCAGACATAAATTATATATTAAGTTAGAAGATGAATGCAATGGCTAGGATAACAGGAAACAGGAGAGAGGATGGGGGATGGGCTTATAATTTTAAACACGATAGGGCTAGTTGAGAAGGTAACATTTGAAGGAAGTGAGGGAGTGAACCAAAAGGACATTCTTGTTTGAGGGAAGAGCATTCCAGGCAAAGAAAGGCATACAGAGCAGAAGCCCTCGGGTAGGAATGTTTAAAAAAAATAATTACTGAGTAAAGAACAATGCACTGAGAGAAATTAGTGAAACAAGGAATACTTGGTGTTTTGCCAGTATATTGTACAATTTTCAGTTTGTTACTGCTGTGGTTGTTTTCAGGGTTCAGGAATATCACCTTAGCATATTTAGTTATTCATTACTTAATTGAAGATATTTCATGATAGTGGCAGGCTGAATCGTGAGAGAAAAAAATAACATCAAGGAAGACTGCTGCAAACACGATTTAGATCATTCAAATCATGGGCACATTTTTAATCTGCTAACATTTCTTAAACTGTTTTATTTATTTTCCCCTTCTATCTGCTCTTGAATTTGAAATTTAACATTAAATAAAGAAGCATCTTGATTTACTCTTAATTCAGAGAAAAGTTTCATAAGGATAATTCCAAACTTGTAATCTGTTATATCTAAATTATATGGTTGAAAAATAAAAATTAGGTGAAAAACTTATGAAATCAAATTGGCACTACATGTTTTGATTAGAGGTGGGTTGACTATTTTTCCATGGATTTACTAGTTGTAATTTCTTTCATGAGTTGCCGGTGTATATTTGCTCATTTTGGGGGGGTGGGGGCAGAGGGGTTAGTGTTTTTTCTTTTCAGTCTATATCTATATAATTGATAAGGAGTGTAATTTCATGCCATTTTTCCCGTAGGCTTTTAAAGAAGCAGTTTTTTCACCGGGCACTAAAAGTGATGAAAATGAAGTATGATAAAGACATAAAAAAAGAAAAAGAGAAAGGAAAAGCCGAAAGTGGAAAAGAAGAAGATAAAAAGAGCAGGAAAGAAAATCTAAAGGATGAAAAGACAAAAAAGGAAAAAGAAAAAAAAAAAGATGGTGAAAAGGAAGAATCCAAAAAGGTGATTTTAGCTAAATTTAAGTAAAAATAAAAATGATTATTTGCATATGATCACTGGCATATGAGCATTTTTGAAATGCTGTGCAGCAACCATTTAAGATAAATACATTAGGGTTCTTACGAATACCATGGTTGAGAATTTTTATTTCTGTGTCTCAAATAGTGAAACTTTTTTTGACTATGAATGAATGTCTTATTGTTTTTGCTTTTTGTGGTTTTTTTTTTTCGTTCTGCTTAACTTGTGTTTTAATAGGAAGAAACTCCAGGAACTCCTAAAAAGAAGGAAACTAAGAAAAAATTCAAACTTGAGCCACATGATGATCAAGTTTTTTTGGATGGAAATGAGGTGAGCATATCTACTTTATAAATAGAAATCCAGTTTTCCATAGGAGTTTTTAGAGTTATCTGTGATGACTTTACTAAGAAAACAAGTAATTTTGGTAAATCTAACCACATAGACACTACTTTTTAAAAAAATCAATAATTTCTCTGAATTAGAGTTACGAAAAATGTATAGAATATTAGCCAGAATTAGGTTCAGCTGTCTGTGAGTAATAGGAAACCTGAAATAACAGTGGCTGAAAACAGAATAGATGCTTGTTTCTCATCAGTTAAATCTGAAATTTAGTAGTACAGCTATGGCAGCTCTATGGTGCAGCTGTGTGGGGCAATTAGTAAAGGTTACCTTATGGTCCAAAATGACAGCTAGCCTTATATCTGCATCCAAAGGAAGAAAGGAGAATGAGGAACATGCCTCCTCTTTAAGGACATCTTCCAGGAGGCTAGCGGTTGCATTTCTGCCTGGATTACCATGGCCAGAACCTGGTCACATGGTCATGCCTACCTGCAGTAAAGTGTTAAAAATGTGCTTTTTGTACTGGTGGTCATTTGCCTAGCTAAAATGCAGGATTTCCTTACTATCAAAGAAAAAAGAGTAGAATCGTTAATGGAGGGCACCAATAGTTTTCTGTCTTTTATATTCAGACTATACACTGACTATACACTACTTTAGAGGCCTAAGATTTTCAATGTTACTTAGTGCTTTACTCAAGGAAATTGTATTTATTTCTTTTGTAATGGAAGATTTGTGTGATGGTAGCCTTCCATGAAGACTACTTAATGTAGTCATTTAACCAATACAAAAACATTAATTATATACTGGCCATTGAATTCTTGTGAATTTCAAGGCATATTTCTTTTTGTTGTATCTAATACAAAAGTAGTATATATAAAGTAGTGGTTCCTGGAGCTATGAGTTTGAAATTCTGGGAAAGCTTTTCAGAAAATATGTGCTCTTGGCTCATTCTAGACATACTTGCATGAGAATCTGTAGTATGGAATATAAGGGTGGCACGTGTGTGTAATTTGTCTGACGTGTCCCAGGACAATTCTGATGTGAACCCTTGGTTAAGAACTACTAGAAGAGAAGATCACAGTTCTGCCCTAATGTGAAAGTTCAAACACCTTCAGTTAAACATCAAACATTAGCTATATGCAAGGACATTATAGGTGCTTGGAAAAGCATGATAAATAAGGTAAATTATTTTCTTGGAAGTGCTTGTAGTCTAGCAAAGATACAAGCTTTTAAACATATTACTGTATCATAGGTTGGTGACTGTTAGGATAAGAGAACATCAGTTAAGAATAGTAAATTTAAGGGGCGCCTGGGTGGCTCAGTCGGTTAAGCGTCCGACTTTGGCTCAGGTCACGATCTCGCGGTCCGTGAGTTCGAGCCCCACGTCGGGCTCTGTGCTGACAGCTCAGAGCCTGGAGCCCGTTTCGGATTCTGTGTCTCCCTCTCTCTCTGACCCTCCCCCGTTCATGCTCTGTCTCTCTCTGTCTCAAAAATAAATAAAAGTTAAAAAAAAAATTTTTTTTTTTTTTAATAGAAAAAGAATAGTAAATTTAAGACAGGATAAGGAGGGTCTGGAGACCTTGAACACTTGAACTAAGTTTTGAAGGATGATTGGCAGATTACCAGGTACACTGAAGGAATGTACAGATCTATTAGGTGAAGGACACAGCCTGAGCAAAAGCAGGAGTGCTTGCATTCCTGAAAATACTATATTTTGTTCTATAGAAGGCAACATGCTTTCAAATTTTAAAAGTGGGAAATGTCTTTAAAAACTGGATTTTTAGAACGCTAACTGGCAGGTGTGATGTCTATGGGTCTGATTTCTAGGGGAAATGTGCAGTTAAAAAAGAAGAATTGTGGGTGCCTGGATGGCTCAGTTGACTAAGCATTCGACTTTGGCTCAGGTCATGATCTAGTGGTTCATAAGTTCAAGCCCTACCTTGAGCTCTGTGCTGACAGCTCAGAGCCTGGAGCCTGCTTCAGATTCTGTGTGGCTTGGGTCATGTGATCTTGCAGTCATGAGAACGAGCTCCTTGCTTTATGTGGATGGAGCCTGCTTGTGATTCTCTTTCTTTCCTCTGCCCCTCTCCCCTGCTCACGTGTATGCTCTCTCTCTCTCTCTCTCTAAAATTAAAAAAAAATAATAATTTTTTAAAAAAGAGAAATGGAACCCCCAGTGTTAGAAATAGAATGAAATCAAAGACAATAGAGTTCTGGTCAAAATAGAATCAGGAAATGGAAGAGTAGTGATATTTATAGAAACTAAGAGATAAAAGTAGGAATTTTAGATGGTGATTGGAGCAGAGTTCTGATTGTTCTGAATGAAGGAAACTTCTCTTGTGTAAAGCAAATCAGGCTTTAAAGCAGTGGTTCTCAGCTTATGGGCTACAGACTCTCCACAAGGGAGGAGGCAATGAAATTATTGCAGTTAGTCATGGAATCTTTATGTTCACTAAGCATGGATCTTCATTAATGATTCTTTGTGTTTCACAGTGAGAGGGAATAAGGTAGAGTTGATTGCTGCTGATCTGTAATAGGGCCTGGCTGAATCTATCTTAACTGTGCTCTTAGCCCAGACTGCTTCTCCTTATACCAGTGTGCACCATTACATTAGGAACAAAAAGTTACACAGTTGCTGCTCTTTGGGTGAAAATAAGCAATGGTTTGCACACATGAACAAATTGTTAAATGCATGCAAGTACATGGAAATTTACGTAAGTGCCTTAAGGAATTTATAGTTTAAAACATTTTTTTTTCTAACTGAATAAATACCCAAAGAAACACTATTCCTGAAAGAAGGGTCTTTGGAATTTGTTTTCTTAGAAACTTAGTTCTTATATGTGAAGAAGTTGGAAGTGACTGTTATAGACGATACAGAATTAAGCTTAACTTTCTAATGTAACCTTAAGCACTGGGGTTTCTTGATTCTTCTAGGTATTTGTGTGGATATATGACCCGGTTCACTTTAAAACATTTGTCATGGGATTAATTCTTGGTAAGTACAATCTCTAAAATTTAGAAAGGAAAATAAAAATGCAAAAGCCATAGAGAAAAATATTTAACATAAAATAGTTATTTTAAAAGAGGTGTACTTGAAATAAGGTCAGAAGATTAATGACAAGCTGAGAAAAATATTTACAAGACATTAAAGCAAAAATGAGATGAACAACCTGGTAGAAAAATGGTAAAGGTGGTCCACGGGTAAAGAAATACAGTGATCAATAGTCAGCAATAAGGTAACTTAGCCTTGAAGGGGTTAAATAACTTGCCTAGAGTTACTTAGCTTATAAATGATAGAGGTAGAATTTGAATCCTGATCTTTCTTGCTTTCGGAAGACCTAGAACCAGACTTCTGATTTCTTCTGATTATTCCATGTGGTCCCATTGTACTTAGAAAAAAAACTGGAGATGCTTGTATCCAGTTTCCCTAACTACCGAGAAACCATCAGAATACCTGCTGAGCTTTTCAGTCTGTAGGTGCCAGAGCTTCACCCCAGACTCAGAATCTTCAGAGTGGAATCATTTTTTGGTTTAGTGTTGTTCGGAGGTTGTTTCTTTCGGCTCCTCTAGTTAGTAGACAGATACAGTCAGACAATAAGACATTGCTTGAAAGCAGCAGCAGTTGATCATTTAAGGAGCTGACAATGTCACATTTTTAAACAACACTTTTTTCTAACTATATGTAATTTATACTAGAAAACTTCTAGCCTCCAAGAGTAATAGTTAAAATGTTAGGTTGAGCTATGTGAAATGGCTGATAAAATTTACCATTTTTTATCTATAAAAATGGCAATTTTATATGTCTTAATATGTTTATATTTCAGTTTAGGAATATGGATGGAATATTTAGGAGTATTTAGGAATATTCAGTTTAGGAATATGATGACTGTTATTGTAACCAAGCCATTTAAGTTTTAATCTAAAAGTTCTCTATGTAACTTTGTCATTTCTTGTTCTAGTAATTGCAGTGATAGCAGCCACCCTCTTCCCACTTTGGCCAGCAGAAATGAGAGTAGGTGTTTATTACCTCAGTGTGGGGGCAGGCTGCTTTGTAGCCAGCATTCTTCTTCTTGCTGTTGGTAAGTAGCATTAGTAAATTTGACCTCAGTAAGGAATATACCAAGCAATTTGGGCTATAATCTGGAGCTTCAAGTAAAGCTTAATTGCAACACTAATGTAGGCAGATCAAGGAGTATATGGACCTACTTTTTGGGTCATATCCCAAAACTGACTCAGGCTTGAGGTAGAATATGTACCTGATTAGATTTGGTCTGTTGTGAAGAAAGTATTTAATGTGTCTTCATCTGCATGTAGATATGGCTTAAAGTTTAGCTATCACAGAGACTAATATTTTTATGATGGTTGATGATTTATGAGACATAATCCTTTTAGTAAGACATTTTTGTATTTTGACTTAAGGCAAATGAAACTTGTATTAAATACTTAAATTGTATAAGCTTAATAAATATATATTCAATTCAGTAAATGCCATCTTGGGGAAAAATTTTGCACCTGTGTACCAAAATAAATTCTAGATGCATTAACGTGTTATAAATGGTTTTTAAAAATCAAACAAGGAGACATAAGTAATGGTTTTTTTACACACCTGGATGAATGGGGTCTTTGTAGCTAAAGACAAAACAATATAAAAATAATCTACTTCAAATGAGGAAATTGAAAACAAATGATTAACAAATAGCTGAAAAATTCTTATCACTAGTAGTCAAACAGTAAAATTAAAATAATGGAATAGTTTTTTGCCTGTTTAATTAGCAAGTTTTTTTGTTTGTTTGTTTGTTTGTTTTTTTGGAATGGAGATACTCAGGGCTCCTGGATGGGTCACAGTGTCCAACTCTTGATTTCGGCTCAGGTCATGATCTCACGGTTCTGGAGATCAAGCCCTGTGTCAGGCTCCATACTGACAGCACAGATCCTGCTTGGGATTCTTCCTCTCCTCTCTGAAAATAAATAGATAAACTTAAAAAAAAAAAGAAAAGAAATGGAATCACTCAGTGCCAGGGAAGATCTGACTGAAAGGAAATGCACTTAAATATGAAGAGTGGTGGTAGTTGTGAATAATTTTAATGTTGTTCTTTATACTTGTCTGTATTTTTTACAATGAGTATATTACTTACCATGGGAAAAAGAAAACATTATTTTACTTAAAATCCTAGTCTTTGAAGATATTTCCATAAAGGGTAGGCAGATTTAATTTAACTTTTTTACTTTGAGAAAGAAGTGGAAGTTTTTCTCAGCTTATCTAAAGCTGTGTATTGATATTTAAACTTACATACAGTATATTATTCCTTGATCCACCTAGATTTTATATTGGTATATGGTACTAAGTTCTGATTATTTTCCCTAACTGACAAATCCACCTTTCCACCAAGGCATAAGAGAGTACTTCCTATACAAAATTTAAAAAATCACATTATTGACCTGATATCTGTTGTTAGAGGACATACTTTGACCAAGATTATCTGAACTGAGCAAATGTTATTCTGAGGTCTGTGATACATAATAGATTGCTGTGTTATAAAGCATTACTCCTATAGTCCTAGCAATTTGCCTCTGCGTGACCCTTCACCCTGGACATCAGGGTGTCCTGAGTTAGTGCCGCTAACTGCACCCTGTAGCTTATGTAGTATTTTCATTCAGTTTATCATGTTTATGGGCTTCTCTTTTTTCTCTGTGATCTCTGACTGTGTGAAGCTTTCTTCACCCACCTTTCATATTTTCCCTCTTCTAGCTTAGTCACCTTCAGAAAATACCCTGATGGTTCTGCATGTAACACAGTGCATTTGTGGACCAAGAAATTATATCTAAGATTGTGAAGCAGCTAACTAGTGGTAGTATACTACCTGCATCAAGAATGAGAAGCTATATTAGGGCACCTGGGTGGCTCAGTTGGTTAAACGTCAGACTTCAGCTCAGGTCCTGATTTTGCGGTTTGTGGGTTCGGGCCCCGCGTCAGGCTCTTTGCTAACAGCTCGGAGCCTGGAGCCTGCTTCAGATTTTGTGTCCCCCCCCACCTCTCTCTGTCCCTCCCCTGCTCACGTCCTGTCTCTCAATAATAAATAAATGTTTTTTAAAAATTAGAAAAAAAAAGAATGAGAAGCTATAAACTTAAATTAGTACCTCTGGCTCTCAAATCCCTGAAAATTTAGAAGCTCTTTCTTTTTGCTCTTTAAAATATCATTTTTTCAGTAGTGTTTTCTATCATCTTTCATTTTAAATATCCTATGGATTTAAGTATGCATTATAGATTAAATAATCTTGTAAATTAAAGCAGAAAACAAACCCAACATTTTGTTACTTCTTTTAGGCACTAGAGTTCCAAATATACTTTCAAATAGTTTTGATCTGTAGCTGAGTTATAAACTGGATATTTATTTTATATTATCCTATGAAGTATTATATATTAGTCAAAATTCTATTTGGTGCTACTCTGAATATGTATAAGACCTTTGGCGGTTTTCTAAATGGGTCCCGTTTAGTATAAGGATGGTATGACAGTACATATCACAATGGTTTTCCCATGATTCTTTCACTTTTGCCCCTGGTAATCTAATGCCCCATAGAGGAAGAACTGTAAAACCTGTTAGGATTCTGCTATGCCCAGTTTATATATGTGGAGAATTTAAGTTTCATTTGTGCCATTTCCATATTGCTTTTCGTTGGATTTGAGCCAAAATTTCATATTATGGACCACTGGTCTTACAGCCCTACAAAGTCTATAGTAGTATCATAATTTTATTTGGAGAAAAAATGTGCAACCCTCCTTAAAAGACATTTCTTTTTATCAGTGGAATTTATTAATAAATCATAATTGCAAACATATTTGCCATTTCTGTTTGTACCACAAAAGACATTAATGTGTACAGTCTTTCAGAATATTTATGTTCTTTGTGAAAATAGAAATCACTGCTTCCTAAAAGTCAAGGCAGCTATAACTATTTCCTTTTATTTACTCAAAGCAGAATAATGGAGGAGGCACAAATGGCCGAGCTTTTTGCAGACCTGATATGTAACAAAACAAAACAGGAAAATCACATAGCTCTGTATAACTGGTAGATGAAGAGAAAACTATATGAAATACTAGGGTTTGTGTTTGTGATAACTTATTGCTCTAAACTTTAAAATTCTCAAATTCTTCCATTATCTAACCACAGTTTTGAGTTTGAGTTTTGAGAGTAACCTCAAGTGCTATTTGGTTAAGCAATCTTTGCTTTGTTTCCTAATATTAGGAGAGGAATCATCCTTAAATAAGCAGAAGTGACATACTTAATTAACAAAATTGTAGCTAGAAAAATGTTCTTTTATTGTTCAGAAGTGTGTAATTTTACTTAGAAGACTCACCATTTAGGCAGAGTATGCACATGCCTTGGATCCATGATATATTTAGGGCCCTTTGGAAATGTATTTTTATTTCTTTTAAAATCAGCACTAGTAATATATGCACATGTATATAACAACCTATGCAGGATTATTTTATATGTCTACTACTATGGTCATAAAGAGTATAATTTTTAATATTTTTCAACAGAGTAATTGCCTCACAAAGGCAAAAGTGCCTACTAGGAAAGTTAGGGTGCAGCCTTGCTTTTTCCCTTTTAAAGGCTTCTTAAGATATCCTTCATCCCTTACTACTCTGTTCCCTTTTTCTTACATCAGAGTCTCATGCATACTGAAAGATCTAACTAATGGCTGTGCTTATTGATACACGATGTAGTCAGCTGTGCCCTCAGGATTGGAGCAGAATGTTCTGTGCCTGGAATACTGTGGTTGCTTCTAGATTAGTTAGGATTTCATTGTTTGTATATAAGGTACATGTAATGTGCAAATAATAAACTGAATGTTTCTTCAGTGTTTTATTAATATTCCTTGCTATCCAAGTCAATGCTTGAATTATTCAATTAGAGCCGTTTTTCTCCTATAGCTCGTTGCATTCTGTTTCTCATCATCTGGCTCATAACTGGAGGAAGGCACCACTTTTGGTTCTTGCCAAATCTGACTGCTGACGTGGGCTTCATTGACTCCTTCAGGCCTCTGTACACACATGAATATAAAGGACCAAAAGCAGACTTAAAGAAAGATGAGAAATCTGAAACCAAAAAGCAGCAGAAGTCCGACAGTGAGGAAAAGTCAGACAGTGAGAAAAAGGAAGATGAAGAGGGAAAAGTAGGACCAGGGAATCCTGGAACAGAAGGCTCGGGTGGAGAACGGCATTCGGACACAGACAGTGACAGGAGGGAAGATGACCGATCCCAGCACAGTAGTGGAAATGGGAATGATTTTGAAATGATCACAAAAGAGGAACTGGAGCAGCAAACAGATGATGGGGATTGTGAAGAAGAGGAAGAAGAAGACAATGATGGAGAAACAACTAAATCTTCCCATGAAAAATCATAATCTGACTAATTTGGGACTAAAGTGCAAGAGGTTGGATTTTCTATGTTGGCTGATCGTCCTAATGTACACATGACATTTGTAGCATTCTTTAAATCCATTTGCTGAAATGTATTTGACATCCAAGCAATTATATTCAGTCCTTCATTTCATAGAATACTATTATTGGTACAGTCTAAAGCCATTTATAAGTTGTATCTATTTGATAATTTTACAATAAGTAGGTCTTACTTGTTTTGATAGTTATCAAAGATGCATTTTCCACAATGATATTTAGATTAATGGCATTTTTGATAGTTGTATGGCTTTTTACTGTTAGATTAATCAAAATAACCAAAAGGGATAAAAGAGAAACACCAACATTTCAGATTATGCATAGTTATGTAGCCATTTCACAGTTTCTTTAAAATGAAATGCTTAAACTCCTTGTTCTTGATAGTTAAGCTTTGGTTGATTATAAAAGTATACCAGGGAATTTCTGGGATTCTGAGTTAGCAGGGTTCAAAAGCATTTTGTGGAAACAAGCCAACTAGTAATGGTGCAGTAACACTTTTAGTTTAGCTACAAATTCTCCTTTTCCAACTTAGGAAATCCAAACTGATTTGTACATCTGACTCAGAGAAAGATAGTCATCTCCAACAGAGAAAGCAAACAGCACTGGTTGGAAGGTGATGGCTCTTCCCATTTCCTTGTCGTAAAGTAAAATGTATTCTGTACATAATTTACAAATAAACATTTTATTTTAATTGTTACTTATTATTTAGACATTTTTCTCAACACTTAAATTTGTAAAATTAAGACCATGTAAGGGTATGTTTTTAGAGAAATGGAAGTTTCAATAACCCACAGAACATCTGTGCTCTTTCTACAGCAGCTTCAGTTTTGTGCCAACATTCCATGTATTTGAATATGAGTTAAAAAGATCCTTAATAAATAAGAGCAGACTTAAAGTAGCTGTTTGTATGCCTTAATGTTCATTTTGATTTATCTTAAATCGATACATTCAGAAAGGAGGTACTGTATTACCAGACCAGGAGGCACCTCTATGAAAGATAATTTACTGTTCTAAAATAATCCATTTAAAATAAAGAACATAAAAGAAAACACAAGAGAACCATTGGACTCTTAAGTGCTTTGAACTAGTTTTGCAGTTTGATTTTATGCCTTGCATTACCTTAGTTACAAATCTTTCAGAAAAATCTGGTGTTTACTTATGAGCATAATATCATTCCTTGGATTTAGACACTTCTAAAATGATGATGAATATTAAATTATTTTCCTTCAGTCACAGAGCATTTTGCTTTGTAGTTCAAATAGGTGTTGTGGGTAGGTTTTTTTTCTTTAGGCTGTTTCCCATCTAGTGTTTGACTAAAGATGTTAAATTTTTCTAATTGTGAAAAAAGGCATTTTCTGCATACTGACACATTTTATTAAACATGGCTTGACTGCTTCTTTATAGTATTCCTTGTAAGTGGACAGAAATACAGCTGTTGATGTTAATGCAACTCTGTCAAGGCTACAGTCATTTTAATAAGTTTCCTCCCGGCAAATGTTCATTGATTTAAGTGCCTGGGTGTTTTCCCCTCACATTTTCAGAATGCTGCTACTGCTTATTTTCACAGGAAGGATATGCATAATTACAGCTTCGAGCCTCTTAATCACCAGTAACACTAATCCCTATTTTGGGGTATGATAATGGTACCAAAAGTGTTTTTCAGAAATAAAAAATGACCTAACTTTTACTACTGTGTTAAGACCCAGGCACTCAATATTTATCCTAAAGCTCTTTATAATATATGTAGTATGTCTAGTCTTAAAGACATTTGGAGCATGACAAGAAAGTCAGCTTCTTATTGATGTTTGTGGATTCTTACAGAATGTTAGTACAAATTTTTATAAATACCTGGTGGTCCCTGGGGGGAAATAACATCCTTAATGATAGAAAGTGGGCTAGAAATTTCAGGTCAGTGTCTCTACTATTCGAGGTTGTATACCTAAAGCAACTAAAAATCAAAAGGCTGCCACTATTCTATGCCTCAAAAGCATCACTGGCTGTCTTGTTGGCTAACATTAAATATTCTTATGCCAGAGCATGGAGGAATTGTCCACATTAGTCAATGGAATGGTGATTTCTTTTTTACAAGGAACTTCCAAGTTTGCTATGCTACTGTAAGTAGAAGCGTGAAGCTTTTGGATAATGTATGATTTATTGTGGAGTAGGTATAAATTGGCCTAAGGACTGAATTAACCAGCTGAGTCCAGATAATAAGAATAAAGCATATGTAATTCTTCTTAAAGTCAATGTATTAGATTGTTTTCCCTCCCACTAATTTCTTCAATTTTCCGACTATATGGCCTAGACAACTCTAATTGAAATAATTTGGAATTAGTCAAATACTATTCGGAAACTAATAAATTTTAATGTATCACATCGAAATTATGCAGTGGTGATGGGTGTTAATGTTTCTCCCCTTTTTGGTTTTACATTATAAGTACCAATTAGCTGCCAACTATAAAAAATGTCTTTTGTAACTTGAATTTTCTTTTTTGAATCTTTATTAGGAACTGGAAAACTGCAAGTACAGTTGATTGTTGTTCTTCATGGCAGTTAGATTCTATAGTCACCACTAATACAGAACTAATACAGAATACTGAACCATTGCTCCTAGGGAAAATACAGGCCTATTGTTCTGCAAGCCTCTGGTCACATTTTTATCAACTAGTCAATACAGAAGCTTGTTTCAGGTGTCTTTGTGTTTTGTTGATTTACTAACATTGATTTACTAACATTGAAGTCATGGTCAACAGCCCTGTAACTTCATGCTTCACCGAAGCTCACCTAACATGTTATTTTCTGCATGAGGCATATCACAGCCTTCTTGCACCTATTAGGAAAAATAAGCACTTCAGCATTACATCTGGGGGGCATTTTAAACAGGGAAATCACCAATGAAAGCACAAAAATGCAAAA